ATTTTTCTCCATGATTCTAGAATGGGACAGCCAAGGCACTGAGGGGAGGGGAAGGCCAGGAGGGTAGGGCGACCTTTCAATGCATGAGAATGGACCTCAGGGTCTAGAGTGCAGCTCTTGCAAATTCATGGGAGTGAGGGGAAGAGGCTAGAAGGAATATTAATTCACTCACTCATCTTAAGTCCTCCTTCAGTCTCAGCTTACAGATTCCATCCTCAGAGAGGACTTCTCTGAGTCTGCCCATTTCTTTCTGTCTCCCTATTATTTTCTCTGATAATACTCATCAAGGTTTGCCATTTTGTCTTTATTCGTGTGTGTGTGTGTGTGTGTGTGTGCGCGCGCGCACACACACACACGTGCACACAATCATGTATTTAATGCCTATTCCCCTCCCCGCCAAATAAACAGCACCACCAGCACCACCAGAGGAGGGAGCTTGTATGTACAGCACAGTATGTCAGTTGAATTCAATAATTTCCTACTCACTTATCCTCTTTTTCATTGACTCACTCTTTTATTCATTTATTCCCTTATTCATTCCAGAAACGTGCTCTTGGCCAGTGACTTTTTCCCTGATCTGAGTCTTCCACTTTCTAGGGTGGCTTTTTGGGGGGAGGTGGGAGTGGGAACGTGACTGCATAATTCTGGGAATGCATCCACAACCTGGGAGAGCTGGGTGAGTCTGAAGCTCTCCAGGGAAGGAGGGAAGATTCCAAAAAGCTAGAGGGTCAGAGCGGAAGGTGCTGGAGGATCAGAGAGGACAAAGTTGGGAGTGATAGGGTGAAGGATGCACAAAGGGAGACTCTTCTTTGCCCCCACCCTCACATCTTCCCACTGCCCAGCTTTTGCTCTGGCAGTCTGCTCTGTCTGGAAGAGGCTCTCCCCATCTCCACATGCTGAAATGCTACCCTTCCCTGCAGGGCCAGCCCAGATGTCCTCGAGGTCTCCTCTGAATCCTCCAGCTGGAAGGGCCGCTCCCTGCTGCAAACAAACTCCCAGAACACAAAGTCTGGACCTCCCTCGTGGCGCTGACCACTTCCTGCTTGGGCTGTAGTGTGGCCCCTCCCTCCGCCCAATAGGCAGAGGCTCTGCCTGCCTGTTCCCAGGGATCCCGCAGGGCCCAGGGCCCAGCGTCAAGCAGATGCTCAAGCCTAACATGTGAACAGCACTGCGTGTTTGGGGGGGGGGGTGTGCGGTGATTATGACCCCATTTCACAGATGGGGAAATGGAGGCACAGACCAGGGGCATGACGTGCTCCCAAAGCAAAGCGGCAGCACAGCCTAGACTCAGCCCTGCATTTCTGGTCCCAGAGGCAGCGCTCTTTCCAGGGCAGCTTGGTGGGAGGTGGGAGTAGGGTGGGGTGGGGTGGGAGCTGGGTCCTGAGAACCAGCAGGCCAGAGAAATTTGGAGTTCGAATGGCCAAGTTCAGGGAAAGCACAGCTGGGGAGGAGCCAAGGTATTTATTATGCTTGGTTTCCAGCTCCAAACAGAGCTGATGGATGGAGCTGCTCCAGTTCCTATAAACAGCTCGGGCCTCCCTCCCCTCCACCCCTCCACGTTCTCAGCACCACAGCTCCAACTCATCCCAGTGAGAGGGGGGTGGGGGAGAGATGACCAAGGGAGGAGAAGGAGAAGAGAAGAGGGGTTGGGGGGAGAGAGGAGGATGAAGAAGAGAAGCCAGGGTCCTAGAGGCAAGAGGAACTGAGGGGAATGAGAGTGGTGAGAGAAGATTCCTGTTCCCCTGGGCAGCCCACACCCTGCAGTCCCTCTGTGTCCTCTACGTTCCTGGGGTGTGTCTGAGAAGTTTATCACCCATTCTTGGTCTGAGGGCTGATGTTAATCCCCACAAGTGTTTAGGTCCTGGAGGGCAGGGCCATCCATTCAGGAAACCTTTTCTGAACTTGCCTCTGTGTTGGCTCGGGCCCAGGGGACACAGAAGGGTCTCTGGGTAAGACCTCCTTCCAGGAGCTCCCGGTCTGGTGGTGGATCAGGCAGACATCCCAGTGTTGTGGCCCCGGGCAGCCCAGGGCTGATGGCAGCTGGAGGAGGGAAGTGATGCAGGTAAGCATTGAAAAAGGAGGAGTTTGGCAGGGGGGTCAGGGTAGGTGAGACATTTCAAGTAGAAGAGGTGAGAGAGAGCCAGAATTGGGAGGGTCAGGAAGCAGTGCTGCCTAATGGTTAAGATTGCTGGCTCCAGAGAGGAGCAGGGCAAACCTGGGCTCAAGTCTCAGCTCTAGCACTTGACAGCTGTGGCATCTTGAGTCTCAGTTTCTCTAAAGTGAGGATGATAATAATAGAAATCTCTCTAAAGAGTGTTAGAATTATATACGACCGTGTACATCAAGTATTCAGCGCAGGGCCCACCCGGAAGTGCTCAATAACTGTCAGATCTAAATAGGAGGTGGGAGGTGGTCAGAGAGAGATGAAGATGGAGGGCCGCAGGGACCCGGACTTGCAGGGCCTCTGAGCTGCTAAACAACAGGGGCACAGAAAGCAGACTGTGGATCCTGGATCCTGGGGGATTGTGCCAGCACAGGGAACTGACCAGGGGAGGCATCTGGTGGGCCAGGGATGCCGGCTTCCTCTCATCCCACCCAGCCTGCGAGCCCGGCTCTTGCTGGGCCGGGTCCTCGTGGATTGAGTGAGCCAGGTGACCTGACACCACAGTCTGTCTGTGACAGGGGCTGTGCAAGGGCATCCTCTCGCCCTGGAACTTGCCGGATGCTCCGATGACCTAGTTGGCAGCTGTGTCCATGTTCAGCTGAAAACAGGAATTTCTGCCTTGCTGGGGGTCTTGGTCAGGTGAGCAAACTCCCCTGTTTGCCAGGAAAAGGGGTTAGGGGCCTGGTGGGCTCCCAGGTTCCCAGAGTCCTGGGTTGAGCTCAGCCCATGCTACTGCCCTCCTGCAGGCCTTCGGGCAGCACCTACTGTGTGCCAGGGCATTGCGTCACATACCCTCTCACCGCCTAGCCCCATCCATGAAATAGGCATTTCAGTTTTTCCTTTGGAGAGTAGGAGCTGGGAGCAGCAACTGGGAGGTGAGAGGTCACAGCCAGGGAGGAAGCTGGGCTGGAGAAATCTCCAGGACGCTTGCGGATAGGGGAGGCGGAGCTGGAGCCTGTGGGAGAGGAGGTGGAGAAGAGAAGGTTGGCACCTGCAAAGGGGGTGATGTCTGGGTGTCAGGCAGCTGAGAACGGGAGGCGGGGCCACATGAAGACAAGCACAAGGGGCTGCAAAGTGGGAGACCAGGGGGACCACTCCCTGCCCTCTAGACTCTGCCTCAGCCTGTTGCCTGACTCCCACCCCCACCCCAGGTGAGGTGGCTCTTGTCCCCTCCCCCAGAGTCCACAGCCCACACCCTCACCCTCCAACCCCCTTCTAAGAACCACGCATGCTCTTCTTCTGGCCCCTCTTGGTTCTTCCAAGTTCAACCTTGAACTGCAGCCTGGCCGCTCACTCTCAATCCTCCAGCCCCTGGGAGACCTTTAACTCTGTAGCCGGGGAGGCCTCTGGGTGTCAGGGTATCGGGGCTGGACGCTCAGGAGGGGCTGGGGCTGGAGACAGAGATGTGGGCATTGTCACAGCGATGGGGTGGCTGCGTCAGTGAGGGTGATGGCACTCCTGAGAGAAGCATCCTGCTGATCGCCATTCTGATGACGAGCGTGAAGTGGAGCCTGAGAGGAGGGCACCTAGGGTCCTAGGTGTCGGGAGAGTGTGCCGAGGGGGAGGTGTGGGCGATGGGGGGATAGAGGTGAGGGGCCCCGCAGCTTGGTGACCTCAGCTGGGGGGGGGGAGGGGGACTGCTGGAGGCGGCCTGGGACGGGTTAGGATGGAGGGGAGGGAGAGGAAGCTACTTTCCCTAGAAGTTTACCCATGAAGCAGGGAAATGAAAGGGGAAAGTGGCTTAAGGGTCTCCTTACTGCTCGTAAGATGGGCAAGACTTGAGCACAGCTGAAGTCTGAGAGGAAGAAGCAAACAGAGAGGAAAGGCTGACGGAGAGGAAAGAGAGAAAATGGAGCTGCAGAGGAGGGAAAGGTGCTCAGCGGCTCCTGCTGGAAGTCACTTTTCTCAGGGGGGGGGGGGGGTGGGGTTTGCTGAGTGTGAGGGGACAGAGGTGTGGCAGGGACACGATGGAGGCTGAGGCACCCAGGTCCAGGATGATGATGACCCAGAGCCTCAGTCTCCCACCCAGCGGTCCTCAGCCTGTCTCCCCAGGGGTTTGCCATGAGGCTTCAACGGCTGGAAGGGAAGTAGAGGAGGGCAGGGTTCAAGTGGACGCAATGATTACCCGCAGCAAGGAGGAGGCCGGCAGGCTGCACTGTTTCTCCAAAATCATTTTTTAATACATTCACGTGGGTTACACGAAGGGCTGGCCCCGAGGCCTGGGTTGTCGCCTGGGTCCTGGGGAGTGAGAGCAGCATTGTGTAGTGTTCTCAAAGGTCAGGCACGGAGGGGCCCACACCTTGCCCTCCAGGCCTGAGGAAGGGTGTCTGCAGTGAGCACCTGTGGTCATGATCCCAAACAGAACTGGACCCACCGGCTGCCCCACTCGCCACCAGGCTCTAGCCCCGGCTCTGCCGTTGACTCCCTGAGTCCTCGACCCGCTCTGGGCCTCAGTTTTCTCATCTGTAAAATGGGGTGGAGAGAGGGGCATTTTCATCGTCTCACACTTTACCGAGCACCATCGTGAGCCTGAGTGCGGGCCAAGCACAGGTAAGAGGGTGAAGACAATGACACAGGGTCCCAGGGTTAATCCCAGGGCTTCCTTTCTTCCCAGATGGCCCACGATTTCATGGGTATGAGAAACAGGGGGTTATATGTGGATGGGATTTTTTTTTTTTTTTTTTTTTCGGTACGCAGGCCTCTCGCTGTTGTGGCCGCTCCCGTTGCGGAGCACAGGCTCTGGACGCGCAGGCTCAGCAGCCATGGCCCACGGGCCCAGCCGCTCCGCGGCATGTGGGATCCTCCCGGACCGGGGCACGAACCCCCGTCCCCTGCATTGGCAGGCTGACTCTCAACCACTGAGCCACCAGGGAAGCCCCTGGATGGGATTTTTCTATCCATTTTTCTAGGGGAAAAAAAAGTCCCTGCATGATGAGGACTAGTAAGAGAGTTTGGAGCCAGCATCACCTTGTGATGTGACAGCTGAGAGAGAAGGAAACCATTCAAGTCCAACCACCAAGCACCCCCCCCACACCCCCTCAATAAGGTCTGAATCCACCTTGTTTCACAGGCTCTGCCACTGACCTGTGCAGCTCTGAGCAAGTCCCATTCTCTTCCTCAGTCTTAGCCTCCCTATCTGTGCAACAGGGAGGTTGGACTCAATGGTTTCAAAGTCCAGGCTATGCTCAAAGGAGGGAGAGGGAAGGAGGGTACGCAAGAGCAAGAAGAGAAAAAGGAGAGCCCGCCTAGTCTGCAAATGAGGGAAGAAGGGAAAATGAGGCACAGAAGGAGGAGAGGGCCTGTGGCTGCCCATCTTCTCTCTGCCCGCCTGGGAGAGAGGAGGGAGAGGAGCGGGTGGGTGTGCACGGCACAGGACGCTCCCGGGCCTTGTTCCTGTCCGCCTAACAGCCTGCAGCCCCTGCAGTGGCCAAGCTCAGGCTCTGGACTCAGGAGGATGTGAGTCTGGAGCTCAGTTCTGGCATTTCTTAGCTGGAGGTCCCTGGAGGGAGACTTTTGGAGCCTCTTGTAAAATGGGATAAAATACCAACCTCAGAGGGTTGTCATAAAGAGGCAGGTGCAGGCTTGGGTTTGTCACCACTGCCAAGTGTGGTGCAAAACAGAAACAGATACCTAAGGTTCTTACTCCTGGCTCACCAGCCAGGGTGAGACTGGGATGGAGCAGGGGGCCTGGGCAGGGAGTAGGGGGGCTAGGGCAGTATCTTGGCCGGTGTGTGCAACACGAGAGTGCCAGGTAGGGAAAGAGCCTGCCCGGAGCAGGAAACGGAATGGTCCAGTGCTGGGCTGGAGCCCAGGGAGACCACCTCTTAACCAGGCCCTGCTGGAGCTGCCGCAGCCCGCCTAATAGCACTGGATCCAAGCCTTACTCAAGTGGCTCCAGCTCACTTCCGGTCACAAGCATTTTATGTTCCAGGGAAGCTGGAAGTCATTATCAGAAGATGTGACGAACAGTCTGCTTGGACACCTCTCAGACAAATCCTCTTGGTCGGCATTGCCTCTCTCTTACCCTGGCCCAGCAGGGGCAGGACCATCCACACTCAGCCAGCTGGGGCTGCAGAGCTTTGGAGCCCTGGCTTCCACACTCTGTGTGGTCACTGCAACCACCTCCCCACCCAGACTGGGCGATGCTGAGGGCAGGGATGTGTCTCATTCCCTGGCGTCCCCAGTGCCCAGGGCAGGGTGTGGCACAAAACAGGCGCCTGGTGAAGATGTGTTGATCCGATGGGTCATCCTTACACTCTGTCACTCCTGCAAGCTGCCCATCTTCCAGCTTCCGCAGCTGGACCACACGTGTGCCCTGTGAAGTGAGTCACTACTGATGCAGCAGGATACAGGGAAAGGAGCCCTGGGCTGGGACTGAGAGACCAGGGTTCTTGGATCCTGGCTCACTGGGTAATCTTGGGTCAGTCCCCACCCTTCTTCGTGCCTCTGGCTCCCCCGCTGACCTGGCAGGGTCCCCCGACAGAGCTGGTCTGTAGCCCCCAGCCTCTCTAGGCTTTGTACTGTTGGTTGAACTTCTGTCGGCGGACACAGCAGCAGGTGGCCAGCGTGGCGAGAAGGGCGGCACACACCAGGGCGGAGGCGAGGATGATGATGAGGTTGGCGTTCTTGAGCCCCCCCTTCTCACAGTCCTCAGGACGCACGTGACTCAGGGACACCTCCTCCTGGGAGCCGAAGCGGCAGATCAGGTCCTGGGTGGCGTCCACGTCCACACGGCCCTGGTGCAGCTGGGCCGCCAGCCAGCCGTTGCCGCAGCAGCTGAGGGGGTTCCCCTGCAGGTAGAGGCGCCGCAGGCTGGTCTCCAGGCCGCCCATGGCACTGCCCGGCAGGAGGCTGAAGCTGTTGTTCCTTAGGTCCAGCACCTCCAAGGACACAGCCTGCGTCCAGGTAGGCAGGCGGCTCAGGCGGTTCTCTGCCAGATTGAGCCGCTTGAGGCAGCTGAAGCAGGGCAGGTCCACCTGCAGGACGGCCAGCCCGTTGCCCTGCAAGGCCAGCACCTCCAGGGAGCCCTCCAGGCCCGCCAAGGCCCCTGTGGCCACATCCAGCCCAGGGTTGGCGGAGAGGTCCAGCTCAGTCAGCGGAGTGTGGAGGAAGGCACCTGCCCGGAGCGTCTCCATCTCATTGTCCGCCAGGTTCAGGACGCGGAGGGAGGAGACGCCAGAGAAGGCCACACAGCCTGCGGGTCCAGGCTCACCTGGGCCCCCGCAGGGGCTGACCCGGTTCCCCTGCAGGTTGAGCCTCTGCAGGCTGGCCAGGCCAGCGAAGGTGTACGGGGGCAGGTCCCGCAGGGCGTTGTCCTGTAGGAGCAGCGTCTGCAGAGACCCCAGGGCCCTGGCACCCAGCTCCAGCGTCTCCAGCGCATTGTGGCTCATGTCCAGGAGTGCGAGGCAAGGCAGGGAGCCCACGCGCCGGGCCTCAAAGGCCCGCAAGCAGTTCCGGCTGAGGTTCAGGAAGCGCAGGGAAGTCAGGTGCTCAAGAAAGCCCTCGGGGACGAGCTCAATCTCATTGTAGCTCAGATCCAGATTCAAGAGCTGAGACTGCGGCTGGGTGCTGGCGTTGCGGCCGGGGTTAGAGAAGGGCAAGGCGGACCAGCCCTCGGAAGGCGCGTGAAGGCCCTCGCCGCCCTGGGGCGGCCCCGCAGGGAGGCGGATGAGGTTGTTAGACACGTTCAGGTAAATGAGTCTCGGAAGTGCGGCCAGGTCAGGGAAGTGGAGCAGTTTGTTCTCCCGCAGGTCGAGCCAGGCGAGCTGATACTGGGCCCGGGGCTCCGGGGCTGTCTGAAAGGCCTCAATACTGTTGCAGCTCAGGTCTAGGACCCGCAGCTGCTGGAGGCTGAAGTCGGAGATGCAGGTGAGGGAGTTCCTGGAGAGGTTGAGGTGTGCCAGGTGGGGCAGGGCCTCGAAGGCTCCGTCCTCGATGTCCATCAGCACGTTGCTGTGAAGGTCCAGCCGCTCGAGCGCGGGCGTGCCCCAGAAGGTGTGGCGGCCCAGGCGCGTCAGGCTGTTCTCCGCCAGCGAGAGGCTGCGCAGGGCGGGCGCCTCCGCCAGCAGCCGCTCCGCCAGGCCACTGTACAGGCTGTTGCCAGACAGGTCCAGGGACGTCAGGTGTGGCAGGGGACCCAGACCCCCAGTGCTCAGCGCCGTGCCCACCGCCAGGCGGTTGTGGGCCAGGTTGAGGTGCTCCAGGTGGGGCAGGGCCTGGAAGACCCCTGGCTGGAGGAAGCTAATCTCGTTGGCGCTCAGGTCCAGGTGAAGAAGCGCTGTGTAGAAGCCCAGGGGCGAGGCCAGGATGCTCCGCAGCTGGTTCCCAGACAGGTCGAGGACCTCAATGTCCCGTGGGAGCACCGAGGGGACCTGGAGTAGGCCAAGGCCCCGGCACAAGACTTCCTTGTCCACCTGGGGAGGCGGAGGGCAGGGAGAGCAGCGGGCATTAGTGGGTGCTGTAGGAGGGGCAACCAGACACGTGCCTCTAGGAAGTATGACTGGAGCCGCCACCAGGCCTGGCCAGGCCTCTCCTCTGTCCTCCCAGCGTGCTCGCCGTCCTCCCCCCCAGCCTAATCACCCCATGTCTGCATGACCCCTACTCTGCTCCCTGTCTCCAGTACCCAGTACGGTGGTGCTGGCATCAGGGAGGGACTCAAGGAAGCTTTGATTGGTAGACAGACAGAGAGATGATAGACAGATAGAAGGACAAATGCACTAACAAAATACTCTATACTGATTATTACCCCATTTTAGAGGATACTAAGCCATGTATCACCTAGAGTGCCCCAGAGCCAGTGAGGAGCGGGGCCAGCTGGGACCCAGGCCTTCTGGTTCCACATCCCAGTTTCCTTCCATGGACCCAGAGAGTTAAATTTACCCAGCTGATGTTCTACTAGAAACCACTTTGGGAGAAATGTTTCCAAAAGGGGAAAATGCTATTTGCACTCCTGTCATCGGTGTTAATTTTGGTCTCTCGCCCTCAGATCTCACTCAAGCCCTCACTCCACGGGGCAGAGCTCGGGTCCCAGAGCCTGCCTTCCTTGCTGACACTCACCAGATGACCTCGTTCTGCTGCTGCCCCCACCCCCACCAGTGGCTTCACTTTGCATGGTCCAGTCCAGATGGGCCCCTGGAGATGGGGTAGGGGGCAGGAAAAGATGACCAGAGTCTCAACCCACATTCTTTGATGACAAGACTGATTTTGCTGTGTCACATTACCACTCTGGTTTCTTATCCAGAATGTAACTCATCCTTCCCCAGCACCCATTCAGCATTTTATATTTTATTTCGCATTTTCAGACCCCTGGTCTCACTGGATCTTCACAATAGCCTGCCCATCAAATCTGAGCACCCCTCTTTAAGAAACCCAAGGTTAGAGAGGGGAAGGGAGGCCCCAGAATCATCCAGCTGGTGAGGAACAGAGCTGGCTTTTGAACCCCAGTCTCTTAACAACGAAAGACCCCACTTTTGTCCCTCCATCACATGTGCCTTCAGGGGTCAGAATTCTTTCCATGGAGATGCAATCTCCCTCCGTCTTTTCCCACACACCAGGAACCCCAGCCTTTCCCAGTGAAGGCTCTGGCTTCCATAACCACCAAGCTCAGGCCCACTCCGCCCTGGCCTCTCTGTCTCCACTGACCCCTTTCCGCCAGCCAAATGCATGGCAACTGTTCAAAAACTCCACTCTGACCGGGCTGCCCTCGGCTTAAACCCCTTCCGGGCAAAGTCCAGCACCCTCAGCAGAGTTCAGGGCTGTCTGTGGCCCCTGCTGACCTGTCCCCTTTCCTCCCAACCCACTCCAGCCCAGCCCACACCTGCCCACTGCCCACTGTGCCCTCCCACACCCACCTCTGGGCCTCCTCCTTGCTGTTCCCTGTGCTGGTTATGTTCTTCCCAACCAGATCAGCATGGTGAACTCTGTGTGCTGAGCTCCAAGGTCTCCTCCACCTGGAAGCCTTCCCTGACTGCCGGGCAGGTCGGGGCCTCCTCTGGGCTCTCACAGCCCCTGTGCTTCCTCTCTCATAGCTTTGGCCCCCTGAATTGTGACTGTTTGTGTGCAGACCTGCTAGACAGTAAATTCAGGGCAAACAGGGTTTGACTGAGTGACTACTGTGGACCTGGGCCATAGAAAGTGCTCAGTATATTTTTCAGTGAATGAAAGAGTCACAGGCATCATCAGCTTAGTAAAAGTCTGAGGGATTAACTGAATCACCTTTCTGAAAGGAAAAGAAAAGAGATGATGAATATATTCAGACTAGAGCCAAAGACCGTTAGAGCAAAAAGGGTCCAGCCCACCCACTTCCCAGATGGGGAGACTGAGCCTAAAGATGGCAGTGACCTGCACGAGGTCACAGCGAGTCAGTGGCTGAGCCGACAGGGCAGGAACACCAGCCTGGGTGTTCCCCGCCTGGCCCAGCTCTCAGCTTCCTCCCAAGAGCTTCAAGGTGAAGCGGGGGGCGGGTGGGGGGAGAGGAACGGACTGCCCTCCATCAGGCAGTGCGACTCTTCCAGCTCCATGCGGCTTCCAGCTCCACGGTACTGCCCTACTCAGAGGCCCGAGGACACCCCTGCAGTTGGGCACCCATGCAAACTGGAATCCCACCCCGGCCACCCTGCCAGACCTGCTTGGCTCCGTGCCCCTTCCTCCCTCACAACCGTCTCTGCCAGCTGGGGCCACTGGGCACAGCCTCCCTATCCGTATCCTCAGCTCCGCAAACCATCCTGATTAAAGAAGAAACAGCAAATGAACACAAACACAGTGTGTGTTGGGGGATGGGGCTTAACCCACCTGCAAGCCCACACCCCATTTCACCCCAGAGGCAATACTCAAAGGCTCCCTGGGGTACCAGCTCCTGAGAGCTGAGCCGGGACACAAGCTGGCCAAGTCCAGCACCTAATCCTGCTTTCTGCCCAGTGCCCAGGACCCCTGTCACAGAGGCCCAGAGGGACTGCTACAAGGCACAAGGCAGGGCTGCCCAGCTCTCCAGTCCAGTCTAGGAAGGAGCTTGAAGGCGTGGGCAGCTCTCAGAACCCCATTTGTCGGGTACCCACCACTCCCTGAGCTCCAAGCTGAGTGACTTATTTGGGGAGGGGTCTCGGGGGCATCAGCCCTTAATCAAGTTCAGAGCTTCCCCGATGACCCCCTGTCTACTCTCTGGTGTGCCAGGACTCCACTGTCCAGCTTTTTTTTTTTTTTTTAGAGGGAAGAGGGTGTCACTCATCACCATTTTACCACCTGCACATAGAAGGGAAGCAGGGTAGGGAGAGTTACCCGGCAGTGGACAGCATGAGCTCGGGAGAGATGGGTTCGAATCTTGGCTCTGTTACCTCCTATCAGTATGACCTTGTGGGTCACATCTCTTCTCCCAGCCTTGGCTTCCTTGGCTGAAAAGAAGAGTTTTCTCTCATAAAATGAGAGAAAGCCCTTAGCGTGGAGCAGGCCCCTTGTTAGCCCTCAGCACGTGGCAATTCATTTTTACTCTTTTGAAAAGCATCAAAACCGCTTCCATGGGAGTTCAGAAATTGCTTTCCTGCCTGTTACCTCATTTGCCCCAAATCCAAAGCCCACCCAGTTCCCCTCTGCCTGTTGGGTGGCCCAGACCCTTTATCTCTCTGAGTCTTTTGCCCCAGGTGGATGTGGGGCTGCATCTGGTGACGTCTGAGGCCTTCTCTGCCTGTTATTCTGGGTGCTGGGAATCCCAGAAGGGCTCCAAGGAGTAAGAAGTGAGGTGGCAACAGCAGGACACTGCAAACCCCAGGGAAGGGGTGCAGGGCCCTGGCTGCCATCTCATCCAGCCTCCAAGAGCAGCTGCCCATCTTGTGCCAGGTGGGGCCACTGGAGGGCCAGTCCCTTCCCCAGCACAAGCTCTGGTCTTGACTTCAATGATTGCCCAGCCTTACGAGTGGACATAGAGGGTTCCTTTTCTCTGTACCCCACAGGGTCACAGTAACCTCAGGGCTAGTCTCCCTGACTCCTGGCAGAAAAATGGAACAAAGTGAATCAAACCTGGTCGCTGCCCTTGAGAAGCTCTTGGTCTGGTAGCTGAGACAGGTGTGGACCATTCAGCAACTACCCTATGCGCTCAATATTGAGACGGAAGGAAGCTTAGGGCTGTGGGGGCCCCAAAAGGGGTCAAACAGAACCAGGTCGGCCTGGAAGGGGTCAGGGGAAGCTTCCTGGAGAAGGCAGCATTTGACCCCGGCACTAATAAGTGAGAGGCATCACAGCAGAGATGTGGCAGATGGGCTCGAGTTAAGGAGCCCAGTTAGGAAAGGGGATTCGTCCCCCGAAGGGGCCTAGTACAGAAGAGCCTTTCCCAGATGCCCACTCCAAATTCCCCACACATATACCTATGCCTCGTCAGCCAGCTAGACCCACTGCCCTTTGGGGGCAGCTTGAAGGGATAGAGTCCAATATTGGCCCTAGTTGAATGACCTTGGACAAGTTACCTAACTTCTCCAAGCCTCAGTTTCCAACTCTATAAAATTGGAATAATGGTACTTACCCAGCAGGATTAACAGTAAACAAGGCATTTAAGCATTCTAGTAGGTGCTCATTAAATGCAAGGTTTAAAGGCGTTAAGTGCATTCCCCTTCCTTTTCTGACCCCTCTAGCCTCTGGCTTCTGGGTCTGGGGCAGTAGGACACCCCCGGGCAGGGGATAGGGGGAGACAGGGAGTTCTCCCTGCCTAGGCAGAGCTTCTTACCTTCTTACAGGGCACCTTGTCTCGGTGTTGGGAGGTAGCCAGGCCCAGGGTCAGCACGGCCAGAAGCAGCAGGATCCGGTGGCTCATGGCTCTGCACAGGGCAGGAGGAAAGGGGAAGGCTGTAAGACCACAGGCTCCTTCCCACCGCTCCTTCCTGTCTGTACCTGCCCTCAGGGAACCCCAGACCGCAGCTGTAGCTGGACCAAAGGTGCTGTGAATAGGGCACCTTGTGAAGGAGATGGGAAAAAGGGCTGCAGCCCATCACAAAGGGCCTTCAGTGCCAGGCCAAGGAGCTAGGCCATTAGCCTGGACAAGAGTTTTTAAGCAGTGGGTGAGACATGGTCAGATTTGGGTTTCGAAAGACCCTACCTGGAAGACAGCCTGGAGGAGGTGAGCAGGAGGGAGAGGGACCCTAAGGGCTGCCCTGGCCAAGCTCAGGGCTGGGGTGGGGTGAGGTGGGGAGCTCGGCCTCTGACTCCAGTTCCACCCAGGCCACAAGCAGGTCCCCCCATCCTAGCTCTTCAAGCCCCAAACGGTATTCCTCAATCCCCCCACCCGCAGACCTTTATTTTGCCCTTTCTCTTTTGATTTTCTGGTTGTCGAGTCCCTGCCATTGTTTGAAGGTTGGGCCTGGAGCCTTGACAGGAAGCCCCGCCAGGAGGCCTGCCCTGCCCCCAGCACTGCGGGCTGTGGACTTCCCCAGGAACAGGCTGCCAGGCCCTTAACTTTCACTGAAGCCACCGCCCACACAGTGGGACACCCAGGCATGCTGGGCCAGCCCTTCTCTCTATGAGCAGTGGGGCTGAGGTTGAGGGGGACCACAAAGCCCTCAGGAGGGTCACATCCCAGTGCTGCTAGGGGCTCATTCACTGAGAACCTGGGCCAAGTACTAGGAATACACAGCTCAATCCATCAATTTCATTCATTCATTCATTCATTCACTCACACCTTTACTGAATGCCTCCTCTTGTCTGGTTCTGTCCTGGGAACTGGGGACACAAATAAAGGCACAGAAGAGACCATAATACATACAAAACATTAACAAGGAGAGACACATAATGCCCTCCAAGAGCACTGGACCCAGTCACCCACACCAGACTGCTCCCTCTGTCTCCTCCACTTACCTGCTGTGTGACTTTGTACAAGTCACTTCACCTCTCTGAGCCTCAGTTTCCTCTTCTGAGGCTAATGCCAACCTTGAAGTTTTGTTAAAGATCAAATGAGACATATTCTATGCCACTTACAGAGCCCTCATTATGCACCAGGCACTCTTCTTGACACTTTACATGTATGAACTCATTTAATCTTTCCAATAATTCAACGACTTGGTTCCATGATCACCATTCCTACTGTGCATACAGGAAAACTGAGGCTCAGAGAAATTAAGCAACGTGCCCAAGGTCACACAGCTAACAAGTGGCAGGCCCAGGAAGTCGGGCTCCTGGGTCTGTGCCCTTAACCTCTACACTATAAGGTCTCCTGCAGGTGATCAATAAATAAGTGCTGAATTGTGACTCTGAGGGATGTTTTGGAAGGGGCATTTATAGAACCTTTATGGCTGAGTCTTTACTGTTAGAACCCATAAACATCCTTGCTATGAATTTTAAATGAAGGTGGGTGCTCTGAGGTCCTTTCTGGTTCAAACAGGCAAAGGCCCGAGCCGAGCCGTGTCTTTTAAGCCCTGTTCCCTGGGTTCCCCCGGGGCCATGGACCCCCTGCCCCACAGATGTCCTCCTCTCACCTGCATTACAGGTTGGGTTTTCACAGGAAATTTTGTTCTGCTGTTTAAAAAGCAGAACATCACCACCCTTTTGAATGCTAGTGTACTCAGAACTGAGTGGAAACCCCTCAGCGGGGCTTCGAGGCCCTTGGGGAGTGCTCCCTGCCCAGCCAGCTCTTCTCTCCAGCTTCATTTCTCACTGTCCCTTCTCCCACTCTGTGTTCTGGAAGCCTCATATTTCCTTCAGTTCTCTGAGCATCTTTTCACTGCCCCAAACCCTCACTTCCTCCCCTATCTTGTGCTGAATACCTCCTCATCCTTTGGTTCTCAGCCTAGATGTCACCTCCTCCAAGAAGCCTTCTCTGGTTTCCCAAGTCTGGGCTATATATTGGCACCGAGCACTTCATCACTCCGTGGTTCCCTCCCCTTTACCACCCCCCCGCCCTGCACCACCACCACCATGGGAAGTGCCCCCAGGGCAGAGGGGCCTCACTCTCCTCTGGGAACCATCTTACACTGTGCAGGCTGGGGAAGGTGCTGAGAATTGACATGAGGCGCCTCGGTGACATGGTGACGCTGGTGAGAGCAGTTTTTCTCCTGGACTCTCCCTTCACCTCCCTGCCACACTCCTTCCCCCCATCAGCGGGTTCTGTCTGCTTTCCCTAAAACACAGACCCTGGATCTGCCTACCTCCCTCCTCCATCACTGCCACAGACTGAGGCACCACCACGACCCTGGGCCTCGACCCCAGCAACAACCTGACCTCTTTTAGTCCGTCCTAAGCATGGCAGCATGAGTGATGTCTTTAAATCATGCATCAGATCATGAATCTCACTGCTTGCAAACCTCCCATAAAATCAAAGCTTATACAATCTCCTCTCTGACGCCATCTACCATGTGCTCTTCCCTCACCAAATTCTAGCTTTCTCACCATCCCTCAAACACAGCAAGTGCATTCTTGCCTCAGGGCCTTTGCCCTTGCTGCTCCCTCCACCTGGAATGCTCTTGCCCAGATCTGCACGTGTTTTATTGTTTTCCTCTCATTGATCATTTCCCGATCGTTTATTTCTTATTCTATGAGAACAGGGATCTATTAAGCGGTGCTCACTAAAAGTCTACTGAACAAACAGCAAAGTGAGGAGTAGCAGTCCACGGCAAAGGGCTGAGTGGTGAGTGTGAGGTGAGGATAAGGAAGGACCTGGATTAGTTCTGAACCTGAGGGCACTGCTGCCCAAAGGGGCACTCGTTTCCCCCTCCCCTGCCTGCCAAATTCCACTCTATCCCTGAGGTGAGCATCTGAGCCTCCAGGAGGGCCCCTCCCTGCAGCACGTGGAACTCCACCCTGCCATCTAACAGAAAGGGGCCCCTCGGCAGTGGATACCCTTGAGCAGTGCCCTAGACACAGTGTGGAGAATTTGAGGGTTACTCGCTCTCAAGAGGGACGATTGGGATAATTGAGACCCAGGCTCCCATCCAGACTCTACTGCCCACCAGCCCTGCTCCCTGGGGCAAGTCCCTTAAGCTTTCAGGGTCTCAGTGTCCCATCTGTAGGGCAAGCAGCCTGGTTCCTGTTTTGCCACTGTTTGACCCCAATGGTTGTGATGACCAAGCTGAGAATGGCTGTGAAGGCACCCTAGACACATATTGTCTTTCCCAGCTGGGACAAACCCACAGGGCTGAGCAGCCCAGGCGAGGTAAGGAGTGCTGAAGAGGGAGGCCCCAGGCCAGCAGACAAGTGGCCTAGGCAAGAGGACGCAGGAGACATCTTAGGGCACTGACTGGGGGGAGAAGTGCCAAAGAATATCCGTGTGTGTGCGTGTGTGCATGCACACAATGTGGGGGGAGAGGGAGAGAGGGGGAGAGAGAGAGAGAGAGAGAGAGAGAGAGAGAGAGAGAGAGAGAAATGGGGCAGAGGGCAACACCTACTACCATAATAAGCCCACCCCTAGTGTTTAAGGATGTTAGATACTCTTCTAAGCACTTGACCTATATCATTTCATTTAATTCTCACAACAAGCCAGTGAAGAAGTTACTATAATTTCCATTGCACAGATGAGAACACTGAGGCTCAGAAAGGTGAAGTGACTTACCCCATAGTTACCCAGCTCATAAGTGTTTTGGGATTTAGCCCCAGGTCTGTATGACCCAAATGCTGTGTTTTCTCCAGCACGTGCTGAGCTGCCGGCCCCCTACAGAGTTTGTCCATGAGGAAAATAAGGCTCAGAGAGGTGACTTACTCAAAGTCACACAGGCAGTAAATGGCAGAATCAGGATCAGAATCCAGCCTGTCTGCCTCCAAAGCAAATGTTTCCACAACACCAGGCCAAGATCTCCCTCTCTAACCCCCTCCAACCAACCCCCAACCCCAGCAGACAGGCTCACAGTGCTGGGCTCTAGGGTGCTCCTCTCCCTCCTCTCAGCCTGGATCACTGGCAGAGCGGGGTCCTGGGAGAGCTGCTGTGGACGTTCCCAGCCAGCAGTGAATCACTAAGGGCAAGTCCCATTCTGGAGACATGTGCATCCCACGGGGGAATTAGACCTTAACCCAAAGGAATGTGGCTGTGATGGCGGAATTTCAGGCAGCTGAGGGTGGGGGTGGGGGTCCCTCACGTCTTACCACCCATGAAGAAGGCTGGCTGCGGAGCTCCTTGGAGGGAGGTGGGTGCCACCCCCCCCCCATCCCCGCCCCTAGAGATGGGCAGGCTATCTGGTGCGGTGGGATGGGAAGACTCACGCCCGGCCAGGGTCAGAGGGCAGTAGCAGACCAGATTCAAATCCCGAATTGCCCTTGACTAGCTGTGTGTTCCCTGCTCAAGTGCTGGCCTTTTAGCGCTTGTTTTCCCATCTGTCAAATGGGAACGCCTGCCTCGCCCTTCGCGGAAAAGATCCGCTGAGCAAGGAGCCTTGGAGACTTCTGGAGTCAACCCTGGCTCCACGCGCAAAGCAGGGGGCGGTGGCGGGAGGGGACTGTTGAAGTTCCGCGTCTCGATGGACTAGTCCCAGCCCAGCTCCGCGCCGGGTGCTCGAGAGGGGCGCGGGACCGCCGGTTCCCCGAGGGGGCCGGCCAGCCTCGCCCGCTGGGCGGCTCCTACCTGGCTCAGCGCGGCCGCCGCTCCTCTCCCGGGCAGCCCCGGCACATTTTGCGCAAACCTGCCCTCCCCGTCCCACCCCGCGCCAGACCCCGGGGTCACGGCCCGAGGAGGCGCACGGCCGCTCCACCGCCCCACGGGAACCGGACCCGCGAGAGGGCAGCTCGGCCTCCAATTTAAATACCTCTCCCGCCGACCCGCCCCACCACGCCCCCCCCCCTCGGCCCAGCCGCGGGGTCCTAGCGCCGGGCCGGCACGCCCCCGTGTGACTCGGTTTATCCGGAACCCGCGAGGGGGTGAAGCTTTTTCTTGACGCTGAAACCCAGACTGGGAAGGGGCGGGTCGAAGTGGGCGGGATGAAAGGGCGGGGATGGAGAGGGGTCGCTAAGGAAGCGCTGTGCCAGCCAGGCCGCCCCGGGCCGCCGCACGTGCAGTTCGTGGCCCCGTGGGGTCCAGGGCGGCGGGTGGCTCTAGCAGCCGCGGGTCCGCAGAGGAAATCCGGCCTGGCCCCGATTTCCCCCGCTGTCGCCGCCGCACTTAGCCGGGGAAACAGGAGAGGTGACACGGCGGGGCTGAACGCGGAAGGAAATGACCCTTCGCTGGCCCTGGGGTGGCCACAGAGGGGGTTCCCCACACCGAAGCCGTCCCATCTGGTGAGTCCAGGCAGGTCACTTCTCCTCTCTAGACTGTGCTCTAGTGTCCAGACTCTTCCTCCTTCATCATCTCCTGGGCCCTTAAGCAGCCCTGTGAAAAGGTCCCATCAAACCCCCCAGAATTCAGGTGGAGAAACAAGCTATGGATGGGGTCATCGAGTATAAATAAAAATCACTTGTCTGGGACTAGTAAGGTCCCCATTTATATTTAGGGAAACCGAGTCTCAGAGAGGTTAAATAGCCTATCCAAAGTCACACAGAATATAAGAGACAGGGATTTCCCCCAAGTCTGTCCACAAAGCTAAGCCCTGCCCAAACTGGGTACACTTTTCCAGCACTATGTTAGTCAGGGTGTCTTTGAGTGCTGTGCAAAAAGTAGCACGATGGTATTATTGTCTTTTACGTGGAAGGTTGAGGCGCATCTTCCCCAAAACCACGTCCTCTTCTAGATGCCTTGGCCCTGCCAGATCACAGCTACCCTGCCCTGCCCTGCTGGGTGTGGACCTGAGGAAGGGGAGCCTAGGAGAGGAGGGTCACAGCTGTCCTTCAGGCCCTGGTTCCAAGGGTAGAAGAGAATTCCTCCTCCAAAATGTTTCTCTTCCGTGATGGTCACCAGCCCTGACAGTAGTACAGCATGTCCCATTTTACCGGTGGGAAAGTGACCACCCAAAGCTTTGTGGTAAATCAAGATGAAGCTAGACTTAGAAGCTGGGTTCCCTGAATTCTGTATAGATGGCAGCTGCATTTCCTTTCTCCCATCTGGCTTACTGTGGGGACAGGCCTGGGGAGATGGGGACAGCTCAGAGAAGACAATTTGTGACAGCTAGGAGGGCAGGGTGGGGGTGGGGCAGGGCCTAACCTAAACTCAGAGGAGGAGATCAGGGAAAGCTTTCCTAAGGAGGGACCTGAGCTGCTATGAGGGCATAGGTAGGAAAGGTCACAGGACCTGGGAAGGGTGTCCACACCTTCCTCTCCCTCCCAGCCACTGGGAACCTCAGATCTATGCTGAGGGAGGGCCCAGCTGGTCATCGCAATGCCCTCTCCCCACCTCGCCCGCTTTAGTCCTCATCTGGTCAAATGGAACCTCAGTTTCCCCATCTGTAAAATGGGAAAGATAGTAGCTTCTTCTCGGGTTGGTGCCCAAACTAAGAATAACGGACTTAGCCTGGGGCCTGTACCCAGTGGGTGTTAGGCAACTTCTGGCTGTCTTTATTGTGGCGATTAATGATGCCTCTGCCACACCCTGTGGGCTTCCTTTTCCAGATCCTTGTCCAAGGGGCCAAATGTCCAGGAAGTGCTTCGCAGCAGCCCTGCAGCATGGGCAGAACATGGCTGAGTTGGACTCAGACAATTCCTGGGCTCTCCCACCTGACCTGCTCCCCCCACATCCAGCGCCACCTCACCCTTCTCTGAGGTGCTGTGGGCAGAAACCGCTGGGCTGGCGCAGAGCTCTGGCTGGGGCTGGGGTAGGGCGGGGCTGGGGCTATGGCGGGCTCGGGGGAGAGCGACCTGCCTCCCACACACCCCCAAACGCTGCGGTTGTGGTTAGTCAGTTCACAGGGGTCCACTTCACTCAGTGCCTGGATGGGGCTCCCCAGGAGTTGGAGACAGATGGGCAACCAAGCGTGCCTACCCGCTGCAGATGCCTCTTGGGACTGGGGGCTGAAATCGGGAACCCCACGTGCTCAACGCCCCTTCCTTCACCTTTTCACTTCTTCAGCGTTTGTGTTGCTGTGGGACTTTTGGCAGTTTGCTTGATCTTTCTGACCTCAGTTTGCTGATCTGCAAAGTG